TCCCGCCCGCCCGCCGCGTGCCCTACTCATCCCGGCTGGACCCGAGCTCGCCTCAGGCCCGCGGTGTCTAAACTCCGTTGATTAAGGAGATTGCAGCCTCTCTCGACCCTCAGCAGCGCTGCCCTCTTGTGTGGCTTTCTGGGTAGGTGATGTGCACCGGCTGAGCGCCCGCGCGGCCTCTGAGGCGTGGCTCCTGAACGGAGATCTTTGCCCAGTGAGATGCATCCAGCTCAGATGGTCTTCCCGGGACTCCCTAGCAGAGTTCCAGAGGACCCTGGGGGCTGGCGAGCACGAGGGACCTCTCCCCGAGACCCGCTGCCATGCTAGCCAAGGGCCCACAGGTCGACACCCAGGATGCTCCCTGGCCTGGTGACTTCACCCAAGGAAGGGTGAGGGGGCGCCCGTCACCTCAAGGGCCTCATACCAAGTGGGGCGAGGAAGGGGGATGGATATAGGACAGATGGCAGGTGGGTAATAGGGACAGCTAGGCGTGGAGGAAACCGTGTTTAGTGGGTCCACGGTGTCCAGAGCAGCAGGAGGAAAGCCTAAAAGTGATGGAGACTGAAGTAGGCCAGGCTTTCAGTAGCATCATAGTTAAGGATTCCCGAGGCACATTTGGGACTTGACTTCCATCAGGAACCTTAGAAAATGAATGTACAGTTCCGGACTAACAAAATGCATGTAATAAAAGAAAAAGCACTCATGACATAGAATATACATGAGCGGGATGTGGTTTTCCACAGCAGAATTTGTACTGTGTAAATTACAAACATTGATTATTTTCTTTGTATAGCTTATTTTCCACTTAAAATTGGGGGATTTACAGTGTATCATGTGAGTACAGGAGACTCAGTGAATTGGCACAGATGTGTGCCCAATCCACTATTCCACTTATTTTTATTGGGGAAGACTTACTGCTTCAGAAGGGTTTTAGATCAAATGCAATTTAAAGCATATATAATTTCAATAACTTTCAAGGCAGGTCAGTGAATTGCAAGTCACCTAATTCAGATGCAGAATTTAGGAATGAAAGTCAGATGCACAAACATGATTCTGATTATGAGCTTTTAATTCTTTTTTTCATCAATAATAATTGGAACACTGGTCCTTGGAATCAGCTTTCAAAAACTATTTTAAAAACCTTGCTAAAGCTTGGACAGTGTTACCTTATGCTGTACTGTATTTCAGCATATATAAGGAAATTAAAAGTTCTGTGTGTATTATGATAAGATCAGAAGGATATTTTAGCTTTTTAATAGAACATATGTGTATCATGTATATGTGAAATTCTGCTATATGAAGATCCTTGAAACCAAAAATCAGAGCTACAATTTGAGTCAGTTGAATTAGGCCAAATGTCTCTGCATTATTATTGAGGTAAACATGCTTATGACTGCATGATGAAGAATGGATTGGAGGGAACTCAGAGGTCACAAGTCTGAAAGGGCCTACAGATAAGAAGTGCTAATGGTTTGGAAGAAAAATGGCTACAGCTTTAGGTACATTATTAGGAGATAATAAAAAAAATAGTGCCACTTAAATCGGGACAAAGAATAGAGTAATTTTCAGAGTGGGATGCTGTAGAGAGACAGAGGGGGAACTTGGCAAATATGTTTCTTGAAACCTTGGTAAGAACAGTTAGATCAAGTGGGGGTCTTGCAGAGTTCTTTTTATTTTCTTGCTTAAAGCTGGGAGCAAACTGAGCATTATTGTATATGGAAACGTAGGAAGTTCATGCAGAGGAAGATATTTAAAGAGCAGAAAGAAGCCGGGCGTGGCTGTGCACACCTGTAATCCCAGCACTTGGGAGGCTGAGGCAGGAGGATCTCTGTGAGTTTGAGACCAGCCTGAGCTACATAGTGAGTTCCAGGTCAGTCTCAACTACATAGTGAGACCCTGTCTCAAAAAAACAAGAAGAAAAAAAAAAGAGCAAAAAGGAGATGGTTGGTGAAAAAGATGTAAGAGTTTGGTAGGCAAACCACCCATATTCTTAGTACATTATTTATGGTTTATAGGGACTGGATGATACTCGGTGTTATATTGAAGTATGCATCACAAAATAACCACAGCTTCGTTCATGTGCCATCAGAGAACCTAGGACCTGTCATATACTTATCTGTCCATTTGTTGTATCCATCGCCTAACTTTTTTATAGTGCTCATCAAAGTTAACTATATGGATTTCTCCTCTGAACAGACAGTTATAATGGAATTATTTGAGTGTAATTACCACGAAGGATGTATGTCAAATAAATAATTATATGGGGAATTATCCAACTACAGTTGTGATACTGATCTGAAAGAAGAGTATGGAATGTTAAAGGCACCTAAGTAAGAAGAAGCTAATGTGGCCTAGGATATCAAGGATGGCATTTTCAAAGATAAAATGTATCTGCCTAGCTGATATCTAAAAATGATCTCTCGTTAGCAAGTTCACTAGTTAGCAAGTTAATTCCCTGATGATGCCGTGGCCTACCTTTCTGCTCATTATTGGGCTCAATCTCCTCTTTCTTGAGAATTTCTTCTTTTTTTTTTTTTTTTATTTGAGAATCTCAAATGTAGTTTTTCTGTGGATTTGGTTAGTAAGGTGGTAAAAAGTTCAGGAACTAATAAGACTTTGCTAGGATCTTTTTCAAGTCTGTTATAGCTGCATTACAATAATTAAATGGGCATTTAATTTTATTCATGCTACATTAATTACCATTAGGCAAACAAAACAAAACAGCAACAACAAAAAAAACGGCTTTGGGAATGGCAAACTGATGGTCAGCCATAGCCACCACAGACTTAGTCTCTCAACGTCTTTTAGAGGAACCACAGCAAACATAAAGCCTGTCACTTCTTATTAGGAATTTTGGCAACAGCTAATGAAAGCTGGTTCTTTCTTTTTTCTTTTATTTAAAATTTTAATGTTCTCTAGGTCAAGTGACTAGGGAATAAGCATGCGTTCATGTATCTGCAGGGAAGGAAGATACTATTGCTACTACGATTTTTGCATTTGTATAACACAAGAGTGTTGGCTAAGTGCTTTTACAATCAATTTTATTGTTCAGTTTAAAAAGTAGCCTAAAATCACCTCTGTGAAAATTTGTTTTAAGTGATTCAGAGATCTTTCCTTAAAATAGGTCTTTTATGATGTAGACAAATTTTCTAATCAATCAAGGTTAGATATAATATAAAACAATGTTATTATCTGAAGAGAATCAACTATTAATGGAAGATACTAGCCTCCTGACACTTTTTTGTTACCTGCTCTAACAATGAAAGAAAATATAAACAAACGAAAACACAACAATAGAAACACAACCTTCCTTAAGATATGGTTTGTAAATAGTGCAACCAGGGATGTTGTATGAGTGAGTTTGCACCTTTTAATGCGCCATACTTAATTAAATTTTTGGCTAATTTTTCTCTACAATGCCAGAGAGTCTTTTCAGCTTTTCAGGCCATAGCATTTCTCTTACAACTACTCAACTGAAGTTCTAGGTGCTCTTTCAACTGGGCCTGGTTTATAGAAGCATGACACTCTGATTTGACCTGTAGGTCATAGTTTACCTTCTGGTTTCAGCACCTCTGAGATTCTATAGTGAACTGGAAGTGTTGCTGATTAAAGTGATTGATAGCTGAAAGCTCAGTGAGGGCAGTGGTGGACTTGTCACTGTTGATTGTTGATTGTTTTATCTTCATGGCTAGCACAGTGCCTGACAGGAGAGTGAAACACATCTCCTAAACAAAGGAATCAGTAGCAAGGGTATCTGATGGAAAATTGCGTAAGATAAACTCGACACCTCTGTGCTCAGATTTCTAAGTTCTGTAACAAAACTACAGTTTTGGATAGAGCAGCAGTGCATTTAAGCACTAAGTTCAAAGAACAAATCCAAGGAAAATATCTGAAGAAAGAAAAAAATGATAGTGAGAAGCATAGGCCTGTGAATCCCCACCACTAAAAAGACAAATTAACATCCTTTGTAAGGGAACTGACAGAATGTTTCTCCATCTCCTAGTCTATAGACTTCATTGTCTGCCCTCAGTTTTATGTAGCTTTTTCCGTATTACTACTACACTATCTTCCTCTTTTCCCTTTGGATACTTTCCAGGTTCCTGGCCAGCCTGCAGGTACCTAAGGCCTCCCAGTCTTAAGTTCCCTTCTCATTGTGGTCTCTGTCTCTGCTTGTCTGTGTCCTGTCTCTCTCTCCCACCCTCACACCACTCACCCGCCCCCTTCTCCCTCTTATCTCCTCTCCCAGTTCTGGTAACTGATCTCTCCTCTCCTGCCTTTAGGCTTGGGAGTAATGGATTAAAGGATGCTCGTATTTTATTGCTGATTTTACTAGCCCCTAGGTCACTGTGTTAGCCTGTAAGGTTGCCCACATTGTTTGAGACAGTCTTTTCTATTTTTCCAGTACTGGGGATTGAACCTAGGTCCTTGATACTGAGTTGTTCCCCTACACTTCTTGGTTTTTAAGACAGTGCTTCTCCAAGTTGCCCCCTAACTAAGACTAAGCTTGCATGTGTGGCATTACATCTAGATGAAAGTCTCTTTAATAAACTACTCACATTTCTCAAATTGGGGTAATTTCCTATACCCCAATTGGCATAGTAACCTTTTTAATACATTTCAAAGACACTTATTATATCAACTAGGGGCTTTTATTTTTTTCAAGTCAGTCACTATGACTTCTATGTCCTCATGTCATAAGATCTCAAGGTGAAAGTAGTCCTGGAAGGCGATTCACTTAAGCTCTCTAGTCAGAGTCTGAGGGTATTCTACAATATCCCTATCACATCCTATGATACAAAACTTCATTATCTTCCACAATGGGTAGCTCTTTAATACTTAATCTCTTGTGCACATTTCCACAGTCCTTGTCCTGTTCATTAGCCTTCAAGGAATGATTCTAATTTACATTTCATTCTTCTATTTCTTAGTAAGGTTTTCAGGTTACTGTATCAGTTTAAAAGTGGTGTGTCTAGAACAGGATCTCTTTTTCCATGTGTTGTTCGGTTGTGCTGGATTGAGTGCAGGCATTAGATCTAGAGAGTCCTCCCAAAGTCTCATGTGTTTAGAGAGTGATTGGATAATGGGGTGCTATATTCATCAGTGGATGAATCCACTGTTAACAGCTGACTTGCTGACTTAGGA